TGTAAATCGAACATGCATGCAAAATCACATGCAATGCATGGAGGTGAAAATATGAACACGCATGCAAGGCACGTGTAAGTTGCATGTGCAATGTACGGCACACCGGCCGGGCATGGACCAAACACATATGTAGGTTTACATGTACCGCGAGTCGCAGCTGACAGGTTCCGGAGCAAAGCGGGTTCCGCTCGTCGTCGCCGCTCGTCCTCCTCGACGATGTCCTCGTAAGCAGGCGGAGGCGGAGGCGGAGGCGTTGGTCTTGACATTGCCTTAGCCCTCCTGCTTCTCACAAACTCTTCATCCGCAGCACACGCACTGAAGGGATCGGCGGGAGTTGCCGGTGAAAAAACCCAAACCACTTGTCATAGGCCTTGCTGTAGGAGGCGAGGCCTCGCTCTTCCTTCCCAAGATCCCAGAAAGATCTACGCCAGCCGTCTCGGCTAGCGGCTAGCTGAATCATCCTTTCCTTCTCTTGGGACAGGAAGTCCTCTGGACTTCTTCGAAGAAAAGCGTTCAGCTCGCGCGTCTCCTTTTTTGGTCCGTTTGTAGCGCACGCAGCCTCGCCGCTTCTCCATGATTTTGCAAACAGGCCCGCCCAAATTCCCAGACAGCAACAGCACATATAGCCAGCATCACCAGAATGCCGCACACAGCTCCAGCCTGGAGTCAACAGCCAGCGGGGCTTGGACTTCTGGGTTGGTACTGGGCACACTAGCCCTAGCTATATTCATAAGTATCACCAATAGACCAAAACAACAGCCCAGCCCTTCGGGATTCATTACACGTTGTCCTGCTGGTTGCTGATGCAGCTGCGGTTGTTGGTGCTCTGCTGGTTGCTGAAGCTCTGCTTGCTGGAGCTCTGCTTGCTGATGCTCTGCTGCCTGCTGAAGCTCTGCCTGTTGAAGTTCTGCTTGCTGAAGCTCTGCTGCCTGCTGAAGCTCTGCCTGCTGTAGCTCCAAAAGACGCCGTAGACGAACCCGATCTCGACCATGGGCTCCTTCAACAAGTCCCCAAAACTCCATCATGCACATCCGCTGCAGATACACAAAAGGTTTCCCAACTTTGAGCACAAGCTCCACTCATGCTTTCTATACACTGAAGGATGTCATGGGAATCAACAGTCTCCTACTGGCGCTGCGCCTCCATGAACAGGTGAGTCATGATCGCCTTAGCCACGGCTTCTTGGCCTTCTTCGACCTTGTGGTCTGGGCCGTCGATGGACTTCCCGGCCAGGAAGGGCGCTACGATGAGCGCCGTGAAACCTCCACCGTCTTGGCAATGAGCGCAAGCATCGGTGTCGTCGCGACGCGATCTTCCTGGCGGTCCAGCAGTCTAGTTCTTGATCCTGTCCCCGGCGCCCGCCGTGGCATAGAGGTCGTTCAGCTGCACCATCGACGCCGCCACCGCGGGCGCCACTGCCATGGCTGGGTCGTGGACTTTGGAATTTCGGGGTTGAGATTAAAACGGGGTTCTGCGGCACACGATCCTGACGAAGGAGGGTGCGAGCCACACCGACGAGATGCAAGCAACACCTGCTCAGCCTAGTTGTGGGTCGCCGCCTTTTGTCTGAGTCTGATGTGGCCCCGCTCGTCGACGAGGAGCTCGCCAATGATGAGACCGCTTCCGGTTCATCGACATCCACCGTCGTGCTGGGGAAGCAGCGCTTGCACAGGCTCGGCGACGGCGACAAGTCACGTAGTCGAAAGTTAACTACCTCACGCCAAAGGCCCAGCCGCATTTGACCTGCCATTCTGCCCTCTCGACGCTGTCCTCGTCGGCGGCGGATTGGTGCAATAGCTGGGTGCGCGGCAATCGATGTCGTCGTCGATGGTATGGCCCTGTCCGCCTGTAACGGCGCTCGATCTGGGGGAAGGGCCCACTTGAAGCTCCGGCGTGTGAGAGGTCAGCCTGCCCCCCTTGCGCCGTTTCGCACTAGGGAACGTCGAGCCACACCGCCGCCGACGTGACCTCAATGTCCTTGACGCTAGCTCCCGCCACATCGACCTCCCGTAACATAAACCATGTAGCCAAAATCACTGCGTCCACGGTGCGGGGGAGGAGTCCACCAGCGTCCGTCGGAGTTCGGCGACCATTCCGGAGCTTGTGGCGTCGAGTGGGAAGCGATTAAATTAACCCTTTCACCACAAAGCGCTGCCAGGGACCTGACCATATAGCCCAACTCCAGCTCGGCGCGTCGATGGCCGACATTGTGCCCGCTCGACCCTGCGAACGGCAGATGGCACGTCCTATCGGAGAAACGGAGCGGAGGTGATGGGAGTCGGCGGCACTGCGTGGGGCCAGGATGGCCAGCACGCGGCACTCCTTCTGGCGCGGCACTCTAGCACAATGTCGGGAAACCCTCCCAGACCGCCGGCGAAAGGTTGCGGAAGGGGCCCAAGAAGGCAGCGACGACCACCGATGGAGAAAGGGAGAGCGACCACACGGCGCGACACACGAGGCTTCAGAGTTCCCTTCTTGTGCCGTGTGTCGGGCTATGCCAAAATGGCACGGTACGGCGAAGCCGCCGTTGGACCCGAAGCCATTCTGTCGACGTTGCGTCGCGGCGTCTCTGCCATCGTCTCCGGCGCCGTGTCGGGGAAGTTGGTGCCACCATAAAGTCGTCGTCGCCCTGGTGGGTGTCCGCGTTGAATTAAGAGGGGGCGTCGAGGAACACTGATCCAGACACCCCATCGCCCGACGTCCTCGTCGGAGGCGTCGGCGCTGTCCACTGCCGTGATCACCTTGGCGGGGAAAATAAGCCACTCATGTGTGCCGCAAGCTCGATGGGCGATGGCGTCGTCGGGGGACCATGCATGGTGAGCATCTCCGCCGCAAGCGCCATCCATGCCGGGAAGCCGCCCTGGCGCCCCACCCACAGCACGCCGAATTCCTTCAACGGCGAGATGAATGCCGCGGTCTGCCACTGGCGCGCTTGGGTGCTGCGGCGGGGCCTTGCGCTGCGGCGCTGCTTTCGCCGGAATGGATCCGGACATGGCGTCGAGGAATGAGGACTATAGCAGAAAGCTATAACATCGTTCGGTCCAGAGTGCTAGCGGCGTTCGCCGTTACCGCATGTTATTCCGCACACACGTGTGCGACACAACACACGCGGAGAAGAGTGATCAACCAGCCTACCGGCGAAGAAGGGCAACACACGGAAACGGTGGCAGCAATAGGAAGAAAGGCTTTTTGCCACGATTGATCCACTATCCTCTGAACCTCAGTAGCTCCTTAGTATTTTAATCCCTCATCGTCGGCATGCCAGGTTTTTCGGCTTAGCCTGATTGCCATTGCAAATGCAGGTACGTCACCAGGCGTCCCTGGTGATATCCTCGGGACAGAGAGCTTTGTTAGATGGAGCTCCACAGGCCTGCTCCATCCCCCTGCAATGCTGATACCAAAACCTTCTCACTTAGACTCAAGGCTCAGACACACACAAGTCGGAATGAATCATCATGAATATCATCCTTAGATACATGTGCAAAAGTGAATGTCGGAGCCCTGTCATTCCTTGGCTGTTTACGGAGACCGAATTTGGGCTGTATGTTTCTGTGTTCTCGGTTCCCTTCTGTTGTTCAAGCTGTGCCGATCATACAGACATTTCAGCAGGAGAGCAGGGAGCCTGCTCGGCGTGGCACGGAGATGCACTGCGTACATAGTGTCGTCGTCGAAAACATGCACGGACGAGGCTGCTCTCACTGTTTTGAGGAGCGCTGTGCTTCTCTTGTTTGTGATCTGGTTTCCGCCTCGTCTCCCTGCCAGAAGGAAGATCGAATGTCCAAGCAAATCATCGACGTTCTTTCTTCGGAAACCCTACAATCGAAAGCTTTCGAATCTGAAACACCTAGGCCCATTGCAAACACCATGCATTGACAGCACATGTCGTATGCAAGCGGACAATAGCGGACAGTTTCCCAAAGCGGGCTGCAAAGAACATGACCGCAAGAAGTCTCTTAATTCAATCAATCATGGCCATTTCTATGACAGACGACATGATTTGAAATTCAGGACAGCTTGCTCCCCGCTGGCACGGCGGCCAAGGAAACAATTGCATCCCCCTTGACTGCAATGGTTGTGACTATGACGGACTAACGCATTATATATTCATATAGTTAAATACAACTATAACGCTTGCCTTGGCATGGCTTGCCTGGTCCTTGGCACGAATTTGACTTTATTCCAGTTACCAGTTAGGACTGCTTTCGCGGCTTGTTGATGTTGTCTTGGTACTTCCGGAGCCATTCGCAGCATTGGTTTCATTGAATCCCAATGACCTGTTGTGGACCAGCCCTTGGCGATGGAAGTGACTATACTTGCGAACGTCCGACCAACTGACAAAACTAGTGATCGCAGACGTCCCATAGTACCCTTCGTGGAAAGTGAGACTGAAGGTGAGCGTTGCATGTGATCTGGCTCACGGCCCCGATTCGCAGAACGATCTCCGACAGTTAGCAGAGTCCGAAGAAATCGTCCAAAAAGAGTGACGCACTCGGAAGGTCGAAACCTGTCAAAACCAAAGCGGCGTTGAACCTGCTCAAGCAGCAGCCCATTCCGCAAGAGACGTTGCTGAAGGATCGGAGGGAACAAGTTCAGCTATTTTAGCTCCGTGAATGTAAGGACACTTCCAGCATCTTCCAGCAGGCAGGCCTGTGGCTTGGAGCTAACAGAAGCCAATCCAACAGGAAAGTAAAAAACACACACCGAAAACCAAAGTATGCAGCTCATTGGGAATCGCAAGAAGTAGAGTTGTGTTCCAGCGTTGGGGCAAGGGTATGTCCTCCACAGCGGCGTCCCAGGCCAAGATATTTTCATGGTTGCGATTTTGTTAGTGCCCACCTCTCCGAGTGCAGGTTCGCTTTGTGCCTCTTACGGTTCAAAGCTGGACCTGCTTCCAACATGCTCAACGCGCATGGTGATGCGTCAAACCCACCCCTGACGCTTGCACTTGCCTGTTGCATTTCTTTGTTTTGGTTCATGGTGAGAACTGAGAACTGGATGGTTTGCCATGCAGATATGAGCACAGCTGCCTCCTTGCTCCACGGCTGATTTTGGAGCTACTTCACCTGCAAGACCCCGCAGCTTCGCTGTTTGCTTTCTGCAAGCCGCACGACATTCCATGTCGTCTCCAGAGCAAACAGGAATTCTTGAAACTATCCGCAGCTTATCATTGGCAGGCAAGGCCTTCAGCGATGTCGGATGTTCCTTCTGAGTCCGCCTGCGAGGTCGACTCGCGAAGCCGGAAATGAACTTTATGCGGTTTGCCTTCCCCGTCTTTTCCACACTGTGCTTGCTGGAGTCGGATGCCTGCAGTACGAGATGCCGTCTCCAACCAACAAGGCCCTTGGACTAAGGCTCAGGCCTCATGGCGTGGACTTCCGCCACCGCTTTTGGAGTCAAAGCAACTGCTCTGGTTGGAAATGCGCACGCTTCGGCTGCGCTGGCTTGCTACGGGAGTGCGAACTGGAGCACTTCGCGCAGCTACCGAGTCCTGCACTGGATCACAGCCAATGCTTGCCCGTCATTCTGGGGTTAGGGGCTGGCGTCCTCACTCAGTGTTCGCGAGGATGATTCCTTCATTGCAACCGCAGCAGAAGCTGACCAAGCTGGGAATCTCACCAGTCACAGGGTCATAACTGCTACACGCCCAAATGTGAAACGCCGTGCTGCGTCCTCGTCTTGTCTCGGAGGGGGAAGTCCCTTGCCAACCTGCAGAGATGGATAAACAAAGTTTCTGCCAGAGTCGAAAAAAGTGAAGATCGCTATCGTGTGATCATTATTGCAGGCTGCACGGCTATGGTTGCCCTGCTCAGCCCGCCTTCAAAGGCGAGCCCTTTGCCAATAAAGTCTCCAACATCGCCTAGTTTTCTGCGCGGCAAGCGCGCAGGACATGTCAAGAGCTCTCTCTGAACCTCTGGGCTTGAAAGCTCACCGACGTGTCCTCTGCCCCTCTGCTTGGCCATCCCACACCCCAGCCCGGAGTTGTGGTTGCTTTCGGCAGTCTTCCCGCCCGTCTCCCCCCCCTCCCTTGCCCCCCCTTTCGCCCGACCCTTCTCTTTGAGCAATCGAAACAGAGTGGGTTGTGTCACAGTGTTGCTCCCTTAAAATGACTCCGGTACTGATACTGCTTCTAACTCCCTCTTGGCTCGCACGGGCTATCCCAAACAGTTAAACACACACACACACACACACACACACAAACAGCAACATGAATTCGACACTTACCACGCGCTACCGAATCCGCCTCCCTGCAGCCCAAAAGTCCAGCGACACCCGCTTTTGGGGTCCAATTTCGAGACTCTGTCCCTGAGCTGAACACGCAAAGACACATGCTGCCACCACAGTCTGGCCGAGGCGGGCGGCGTAGCGGTAGAATTAAGAAATAAATCCAGGTTCATAGGACTGCAAATTCAGGAATGTTTCGAACTGATGCTTGCTGGGCTCTAGGCAACACGCTCACGAAGAGCCTCTGTCACCTGGCACATGTCCAGATCTTCGGAGTTTGAAGATCTACGCCTCGGACCTCAGGGGAGTAGGCTTGCCGGGAGTCGGCTTGGATCCGTACCTCGGCTCGAAGCAGCGAAGCCCAAAGTACTGCATTGCCGCATTGCCTGCCGAGGCGTCGGTGGACTTTGCGATGCTTCGGCCTGGCCGCTCTCGCAGCAACCGCGCAACGCCGCGCATTCCCGCTTAGCTTTCCTCTCAGAGACGGCGCCGGTCCTGGAGGGCTCCCGCTTGGCCGAGCCGACGCTCGCCCTCCGCCTCCGGCGCCTCGTCCCGGCCTCTGCAGAGTTCTCTGCGTTGCACAGACTGACAGAGAAAGACCTTACTTTCTCATGCGCAGCCGCGCGCGTGCGCCCGCGCGTCCTCATGCAGAAACCATCAAAAATTCGTGCCAAATGCATGCACCGTGCGCTTGCTCTGGTGGTTTGGGAGTGCCAAGATTTGGCGTTGTTCAGAACATTATCCCACAACCCGAACCGCATCAGATCCAGCGCAACACCCACCGTGGCAAAACAGCAATACAGTGTGAATTCCCCCGTTCCCGCACTCGCCACGAGCTCCTCAACCAGCTCCTCTCAAGTCTCCGTTGCGATCGCGTGGCCTGTCACTTCAAAGTTGGTCGCCGGACTGCCTCCAGGTCGCTTGCTGCAGCAAGCATGCTCACATTTCCGCATCTGCTAGCCTGGATCTCGTATGCGCAAGTCCTGTGGTTCAGAACTTGCACTTCGGCGATCCTGGACATCATTCAGCTGGCACAAGAGGCACATAGAGGCACTGCGCATCCTGAAACCGAACCTATTCTTGTAAGATCGCTGACTCTGCTGTAAACTTCGGAAGCGAATTGAACAGGCCCGTGCCTGTGCAAAGGCTTCTGAGCCGGAAGAGCTCCTTGCGCAGAGCTGCAACATGCTGCAACTGTACAGTTAGTTGCGAACGACGAGTGAATGTACATTCATGCAGGAAACAGTGCACCTGAGAGAAGTTGGTACGCCAGACACCTAAACCTAAAAATAATGGAGCCGTTAGGCGTACATAGGAGTACCTTCCCAGCAGTTGGCGAAACGCACCTTCTCACTTTACCCACTCACTGGCTACAAGCTGCGGACTTCCTGAAGACATCTGACGGCATGCTGGGGACAACACACTGGAAAAGCCAGCAGCAAACAAATGCGTCTAGTCTCCTGAAAGGTGTCTGCTCCGCATGTGGCGAGACTTGTTGATCTGCGGCATAATCCAGTTCCACAGATTTCTGAACTGCTTGCGTGTACGTACAGATGCGCTTCAATCATCAGAGGCTGCAACCAGGTCCCGCAGCATCCTTGTGTCTGTTCCTGAACAAGGACCAATGTGACCAAAGCCTTCACTTCATGATTGATTCTCATTAGCAGTGGTAGTAGTAGTAGTAG